GATTTGGGCCTGGTTTTGGGTTGGGGTTTATTTGGGGTTTGGCTTACCATATACTTTTTATGGCTCACATGGTGCTGGGTCGTCGCCGCTGATTTTTATGCCGCTGCCGGTCTTATTACTTGTAAGTGGGCGCCGCTGCTCGACTCGGCGTTGCTCATACGCCCCGTGTATTGCAGCCATTTTACGGCCTGGTCTCCTGCCTCTTTATGTATATTTCAAGTCATTTGCTTCGGCTTTGTCATTCCGTTGAGTATGCGGATGCAAAGGAGGTGGGATGGGGTAGAGCTTCCTGGATGGGAGGGCGAGTGCTTAGGCATATTTATTAGGAGGACTCTTGAAGAGATTCTTGTTAGCCTGGATGAGATGCTGGTAATTGATAGTAACTTCCTCACAGGTTTAGTACGTATCTCTGCCAATGCCCTGCACCGTCTGATTGGATGCTAAAGCTTTTTTATGTTTTTCGTTGCTCTGATCTGGTGATTTATTAAAGGTTGAACAAATCAGACACAAAGTTATCCGGAGCATTTTCTATGTCATTGTGTCCGGAATCTGTCAACAATGTTGTTTAGTTAACCTTTTTCGACCTGCTGCACTTAAATTCCATTGTCAATGAAGCCGTGTGTGGGGCCGCGAGCAGAAATGCCGAAATTAAAATGAGTTTGAATATGGATATTTGGGGGAAATAGGTGTCCTGACAATACCCTTTGTTGTAGTACCTATTTATATAAGTTTTAGCTTACTATACAAAGAATAAGATGATTCTTTTAATAATTCATTTAGACGATAATTTATTAAAAATACTAAGGTTGGGAACCAATATCCCAACTCTACAGGGTATGCTTTCCACCTGTTCCCTCCGGTGCATGCTCTCCTCTAAACTTTCAACCTTCACCCTTCTCCCTTGTCGGATGCTACGCAGTCATAGCTCGTGGATTTGAATAATTGTGCAGCAGCGTGAAACGTTGCCAGAGAGAAAGGGAACCGGGGAGCCGACTGTAGTGCGTTGCATTTTCCCAACTGCTGCTGGAGCCCGGTGTTGCTGCCACGGTTGCTGACTCTGGGCTCTTGTTTTTATTGCTTTTGTGCCGCGGAAAATGTTGCTCTCGCACAATAACATTTTTTTCTCACTTTCCATTCATTTCCCCGTCCTCAGCAGCGAGTCCTGCCGCTTGGGCGTTCGAACGCCCGAATGTATGCTACATTTTGTTATTGTTAAATATGTTAGCGCCGGCTGTTGTTGCAGGTTACGCTGTGGGCCGCATTTTGTTGTGCAAATAAAACGTTTGCATTTTGTATTTTGTGTATTGTATTCTTTGTTTTGTTGTTGTTCAAATTAAAAATGATTTAGATGCCAGCAAATTGAGTTCACTTTGGATATAGTTTTGTGTGCAAGTTTTAGTTTTCGCATTCGCATTCGCTTTTGCCTTTGCTGCTAGCTCTACTGGCGTGTAATTTAATTGTTTGTTATTTGTTGCACATACACTTGCCGCACTTTTCCTTCCATCGTTGTGTTTCAATCAAGCCTTGCCTTTGTTTGATGTCCCGATACATAAAAGCAATTGTATGCAAACTGCTCTGTATTTTTGCTAAAATGCATAAATACATTTTTCGTTTATAAAGCTCAAGAGTGAACCGAAGTAGGAGAAAGGATATCCTAAATACAAAAACTAATCTATTACTCATAGGCACACAAGACAGGGATTAACTCATGTTTAATAAAACAAAACATTCTTTATACTATATGTTTTAAGCTTTATTGTATAGGTCCACCTATGTGAGAGTATCAGTTGGCTTTGCAATTTGCAATTAAACAAGCTATGGCCCACACTCACCCAAGCACATGCATCAAAATAGTTGTGGCTGAGGGAAAATGTACACATTTTTCAAGAATCTCTTTGTGGCATTCTACCAAAGTAGGACGGAAGGCTTTAATGGGCCACACTCCGGGAATGTTCGCATCCCTTACCCAACAGCCGGCACAAAGAACCACACTTAAGTACCGGAAGTGACATTCGGGAATGCCACACAAGAACACTCTAGCAGATAGAAAAACTTACTTGACGCGCAACAAAAGAAACACATATGCCACAAGTGTGTCCGAAAGCCCTTTTATTTCGTTTTCTACAGGTAAGAAAAGGGTCAAAGTCAATATTGTATATTTTTAAAATCTGCTCTTGAAGCATTCTTAAGGAATTGATTGTTGGCAGAAAATAATATCCCTTTCATTCGACATGCTTTCCCAGCTCTGGACACTTCAGTGGACACTTTCATTTAAAGCCAACTTTGGGTCATAAAATGCTTTCAGCCCCACCCCGGCTCCTTCTCAGAGGTCTCTTATTGTGTTCTCCCCTTTTTTATGATTTGTCTGTCCCAGCCATAAAGATTGCCAAGCAATTGAATCCATTGGCCGAGAGCCTATCCACCAGTTTCATAATCAAATACATAACTTTATTTATGCTCCGGGCTATCCCCCTTTTCTCGGGCTTCTGGCCCTCCGCGATTCTGGCCCAGACCAACAAAAAGTTTCCACCAAATTTGCTTACATTGGCGAAACAATAAAATTCCATTGTCAGAAAGGATGCTCGGCCCTGGCCGGATGCTATTTTGTTAAGTGCGCGAATGTTGGCGCATAAATAAAAATATAATTGAGCCGCCACCCAGCTCCCGACGGAGCAGGACCTCCACCAGGCCACCGAGATGAGATCTCTGACCACATGGCCTGAGGGCACTGACAATGATGAATCCATTCCACTAACAAAATTATAATCGTTTTTCAAAATCTCTCATCTCTTCAAACTCATGATTATGTTTTTAAGAATATTAGCTGGAATTTGAGTCCTTTTTGTTGAACATTTTCTCAGACCACTTATCAACTAAAACCTTAGGCCAATTTCTTCAAGTGTAGTCCTTTATCTGACCCACTCTGTATTGATTTTTGGCCCAGTTCAAATAAATTAGCTGCCATTAATTGGAATTGCGGAGGAGCAATTCACTCAAGCAGTGCACACTTTGGACCAAGACTCGATCCGTTGCCATGGCTTAATTGATTAGCCTCGACCTCGGAGAAGGCCACGCCCACCACCACCACCGCCTCAGAGCCACTGCCACTCGAGTTGCCATTGCATTTAATTGCATTGCCAAAAAAAAAGTTTGGGACGAACAACAATTAAAATTTGCCATTGCACCTGGACGAACTTTTCTTCCAGCCTGGCAATCGAGAGCCGGCCTTTGTCTCGGCTTACAACTGCTGTTGATGCCTCGTATAATTGAATTAAATTAAACTGCCTAGAACCACTTGCCCGCTGGGCTCGTATTAATTCTGTGAAAGTGCATCGCAGCTTGCCGGCTATTTAAAATTTTAATTGAATTTATTGCAAACTGTTCTGCAGTTTTGATTTCACAGCATTTGTAGCTGACGCCATGCGGGAGTTTAGTTCATAATTAGTTTACGAGAGATGATCCATTTAAAAGCGTATCTAATAAATGGGTTTTGGTGTGAATTTGAACTTAAAATTCGATTTATGTCTGCCACACAGCTTTTACAATTTAAATTTTCAGTTTGATAGAAACAAATTTTTTTGAATTTGAAAGAATTTAAAGGATTCTAGTGTGGCCGGTTCCAATCAACCAATCTTCGACCGAAAAACAAAGGTAACGAGTGCAAACACGACATCAATCACTTTGCCACACACCGATGCCAAAAATGCCATGGCACACAGATCGCAATTAATTTGCCCAAGCCAGTCAGTCAGTCAGTCAGCTAGCTGGTCCTCCATTTGGAGCCAGACTGTGTTTGTTTTTCTGCAGTCTTCCCAGTCGGCAGTTGGTAGTCGGCAGTCGGTAGTGCATCTGCAGATACAGTATCTGCATCTGAAAGCGATGCAGCCTCGGCTGGCTTTCCATTTCTACCGGGCTGGCTCCACCACCAGCCATCAGCAAGCTGTCTGCCGTGTTTGCTTGCATGTCAAATTCTCATTTCATTGAAATCGACAAATATTGACTAAGAACTTCGATGCAATCAACGCTGCCGGCGACAGCGACAAATGGGCGAGGAACGTCGACATATCTTGGCTTTCTGTTTGGCAATGAAAGTGAAACTCCCCCACCCCACAAGAAGAAAATACAAAAAGTGAAAGCCCGAATTAAAGCTTAAAGATTCGATCTTATCCGCCAGGACAACGTCTGGCAGTTGGTTATTAAAACATACCCGAAAATAGCTACACAACTTTAGCCTCAATAAACTAAAAGAGCAAATGGTGGAGCCCTGGCGGATAAGGATAATCAGGCAGGCGGGCTTTTCCCAGGCTCACAAATCCTTTGAACATCAACCGAAGAAAACACCTGGGGAGCGAGTCAAAAAACAATTTCGCCTCATTATCATTTCAACATTATTGTATGCCCAAGTGCTTCAAATTGTTCAAAGCTGAGAAACATGGAGCTTCCCAGATAAAGAAGTTTTCCCTTTACGTTCTTGTCGGGTTGTCGGGTTGTTGGGTTGTCGGGATGTCGGATGTGCTCCTGTAGGTTGTTGTAGGTGCTGCCTGAAATCACTATGCTCATAAATGCGCCATGAATAAATTAACTCGCTGAAAAGCGGCAGAACAGAACAGGAGAAACTAAAAGCTCCTGCGCAACACAGAGGGAGGCGAAAATGGCGCAAAGAGGGCTGGTTTTGGCAAAAGCCGTCCTTAGATTCGAAACGAATGATAATAATAATTGAGGCAGCGACCCAAGAACATCGGTTAGATAATAACACTGTACACATGTACACATGCCCGACAATGGGGCCCGGGTAGGGTCTGCACCTGGAGAAATTCAGGCATATTTGTTCATAAATAAATAAACGAATCTAATCATACTGAATTTATCTAATCGTTTCTATCGCTTCTCTGTCAATTTTGTATTTATTACACTAAGCCATTTCGATTGGAAAATTGATTTCCCTTTCTCCCCATCTCAAGAGTGACCCCGACCTGAACCTAAAACCTAAGCAACCGCCTTGTTGCTAGACAACATCGAAATTTCACAAAACAAACAGAGCCAGCAGCAACAGCTTTATCGATACGTCGTCCCAGTCCTGACCCCCGCGTTCAGTTTATCAGAGCAGCAAAATGGACAGCCGAATGTCCACGAACCGGATGAGTGTAAACCGAGCCTCGGTTGCGGCGCGGCAGCGGCAGACCCGCACCGGCCGGATGACCCGGCACACGATCTTCACCATGAAGCGCCCCATCACCTTCCAGGTGCGCCGGTCGCTGGTTGAATGCGTGGACATGGAGCTGGCGGACATGGAAACCTCGGTGTTTTACCAGCGCATCTTCATTCTGGCCAAGAACTGCCGCCTGACGCCTCCACAATCGGAGGCGGGACCAGCGCCGCCGGTCCCTGATGGTGGCGATCCGGGGGAGGTGGGAGTGGGCGAGATCTCCGCTCCGGGAGTGGAGTTCGGCGAGGACCCGGTATTGATTCCAAGCGACTCTCCATCCAAGACAACGACCGCTTCGAATTTGAATCGCAGCTCCGTGGAGGTACCCGCGGAGGAGAAGGATGCCACGTGAGTCAACTGACTGACTGCCCTCCGTAAATTTCAGCTATCCGGTTACGTTTCAGGGCCACAGAAAAAGAGGTGCTTACCCACTCATTCCGCTTTGGCGATGACGAGGAAGTGGTTGAGGCCGAGGAAGCCGTCGAGGAGGAGGAAGAACCGCCCACTGAAGCGCCTTCGCCGGGGAAGCCAAAGGACTTCTTCGCTGTCTTCACCGAGCGGCTCCAGCAAATCCACAAGCAGTGCAAAGCGACAGCCATAACCCCGGATCCCATGTGTGGCGTCTACATCTACATGGGAGAGTACAGCTTGCTGATGCTGGAGACCGCGGAGGACATGATGGGTTGTTTCTGCCGGGAACTGGCCAGCTGCTGCGAAGATTTCTGGCAGGCGAACCGGGTGTTTCTCATTGAGGATCACATACACGAACTGTACACAAAGGATCTGATATTCCGTCGCATTCCGGCCGTCTTCTTGAACGAAAAGTTTCCCACCTCAACGCCCACGGACGAGTATTTGATGGGCAAGCAGCACCTCATCATCAAGGAAAAGCTGCTCACCATCTGCCGGCTCCTCTCAGAGGCTGAGCGGATAGCCGACCCGTACATGAGCTCCTCCGATGAGGATGACTTGCTCGCTCCCAAGTCCAAGACGTCCTTGCCGAGCGATCAGTTGCCGGTCGATGTTTACCGGAAACACCTTCCTGAGATCCAGCGGATCGAGCTGGTGCTGGCCTCCACCAGGTTCTACTATGACCTCCTCGACTTCAACGGCCTCTACGGCCGCATGCCATTTGGACCCGACGAGGAGGGTCTCTACTGGCCCATCCAGAACAACTACACGCCGGGCAACATATTCTGGCGCTCTCCCTACGACATCAACCTCACGTTTGCAGACTACAGCTCGGTAACGGAACGGCGTGATACTGCCACCAGTCTCCTGGAGGAAGGCGCGGCTGAGGTAGAGGCACCAGCCAAGGAAGAATCGCCAGAGAAAGCGGACTAAAGGGACTCTAAATACTATACCCAATGTTCAGCGTTCTTCTTTTCAATGGAAAATAAAAATAAATTGTTCAAAGCATCAGATGATCGGGCTTACTCGAATATTTCTGGTAATTGAACCCTTTGAAGAAGGTTTCCATCCCGTTTCTGCGAGTGTATACCCCGTCATCAAGAAGTCGTTGTCTGTTATCTCCGCACTCGCGACTTTCGCTTACTCGGTTACAATGTTTTCGGGTTTGTGCACATGACTGCATCGCAGCTCATCCGAGGGCAGGTGGGATGGGGTCGGAGCCTGGTGGCTTATTCGGGCTGTCTTGTTTTGGCGTGCCACTTGAATGGCTCGACTCTGTTAACATAAACATAAATTCGCGGGTGGGGGCACACTCATGTGTGTGCGGGTGTGGCTTGCGTTTTGCCTTTTAACGTAAACCGCATCAGACGCCAGCTGTCAGTTGTAATGCCGCTGGAGCTTGCAGCTGTCAAAAGCCTTTGCTGCTATTTAAAGTCACTTGACAGTATGCCAAAGCATAACCAAGGGCTTAGAGAGGGTTTTTTTAGCTAAGAAGGCGCTGCTCAAAATAGGGTTAAATAAGAAGTTGTCGGGAAAAGTAGCTCTACTTGTCTAAAAGTCCTAAGTAAGGGCACTTTGTAAATGGGTTGGGTTTCTAATTACTCATAGAACTAAACACAAGATGGAAAGTATGTTTCGATGTTAGGCACCCTTTGCCAAGTCCTCAACAGTAAAAGAAACAACCACTTCTGGCTAGACAAAGAAAGCAAAAACATGTTCGGAAATCGAACTAACAAAGGAGTATGGCTTTGGGGCGACCCAGCCCACGAACATTCTACGGGAAGGACACAATTCAATCAAATGCTGCGGGAGCCGAGGTAGCACTAACTTCTGCTTCACAAAAACATCGACTACCAGCGCACGGACAGCAAATGTCAGCGCATAAACAAGGACATTGCACTCCTGGGTACTCGGTACCCGGGCTGCTAGAATGTCAGAATGCTAGGATGCCAGGACATCCGATGCCTGCAGACTGCTGGTTTTCACGACCGCCTCTGCGGAGGAAAACCAAATATTCGCCGCTGTAGTTTTCATAAACTGCCAGACAACAGACTACAGGGCAAGGTTGTCCGAGACAATGGCGATAAGCGCTCCGTGCTCTCGACCCGCAGCCAAAGCGCCCGATTTCCGACCCGGACAGGGATGTTTTGGTTACGTGCGGCCCGCAACTTGAGGCGCAAACTCATAAATTACCCCAGCGAGGGGCTATGAGGGGCACAAAAAGAATAAAATGACTTTTGGCTGGCCCTTCAAAAGTGAAACTGTTTGCTGCAGTCGCTTGATGGGCGTTTGGGCGTGGCTCGGTCTGGGGCGCCAAAAAACCAGGCATAATTTAAGCCAAACTCAATTTTGCGAGGTGCCATACCCTACCAGCGAGGTGCTATAAAAGTGCAGGCATGTCGAGCCATAGACTCTTTAGAAGTGAGGTTCTATCTCATTGAAGTTGGTAATCTTAGAGGGTTATGGTGTTCTCCCAACAATTCTTAAGAGATGGAAGTTCCTTCCGCTAAGATAGAGCATTTCCAGCTTCACTTGAAAAGTCCACAACTTCAAACGCTTTAAAGCGAACAATGGAGGCTGGGAAATGGAGAGTGCAAACTAACTAAAATATATATTATGTGCTATGTGTACAAAACGAAAACAATTTTGCGGCGCGATAAACGAATTTCCCGACTCTTGTTTTCCTTGCTCCCATTTGCTCTCTGCCTTCCCAGCCCACTGTTCCGAAAAGGATTTTGGCAGGAGACGGCAAAGGCGAGTCAAGGATAACATGGCAACATTTCGCAGATTCGCCGGCAACGGCAACGGCAACAGCAGAGAGGCTGGCCTAAAATGAAGCCGGAACAATATGGCCGGGCTGGCACGCGGAGGAGTGTCGGGGCTTCTGCTCTGACACAAGTCTAGATTGCATTTTGCCGACACGATTGCCAACTAACTGCCAGCCAAAGGAACGATTCAAAAGCCTTAAACCCTCCTCCATGCCAACGAAACAGTGGCAGACAGGGCAGTCAGTGGCGGAAAACTTACGCGCCAGGATAAGATCGGCTCGGGAGCTATCCTGGGAGAAGGGGAACACTCCAATTAGTCAAATGAGCAGGACGTGAACCATATTTCACTGGGATGACACACCACGTTGACTTACAAGGCCCGAGAGCCCACACACAAAAATTGAAAGAAAGAATACTCGCCCCCCTGGCGACCAAAAACTTTCCGCAATTTATGCCGACCAACTTATTGACTGGCTAAAAGCAATTGCGTGGGCCGCTGCTCTTTGCTTTCGCATTCATCATACGCCTAGTTGGCCGCCAGCCTGCTTTAAATCAAATTAAATGCCTAGGTCCTTGGAGTTGAATTCCCAAAACAATATCTGTGATATGACGCAAACTTTTTCCATAAAAAGGAACCCGATGTCCTTAAACCGCAGTGCTTATAAATTGCCTCGAACGAGGCTTGGAAAAATATGAAAGAAATTAAAAATAATAGCGGACATAAAACCACAAGCTGTGCTGTCGTAGAGGGCGGGAAATTAAGCGTAAAAAAATCAGTGAAAATGCCGGGAAAATAGAGCGTAACATATCCTTGTGATGGACTGGCGGACAGGGAGACAGTTACTGGATGACTGGCTGTCTGGTTGACAGATCCGTCTGGCCTTGCCCAAGTCGGCTGGGTGTATCCGAAACCTTGAAACGGGATTCTCTCGTTCCCATTTGGGTTCGTTTAATTTCAACCATTAAGGACATCGCCAAAGGAGGTCCTCCGCACGCGGGCTTGTTTGTGTGTGGAAGCTAATACACATATGCATATTTTTGTGGCGGCTGTTTGCTTTTCTCGCTTTTGTTTATCTTGAATTTGTCTGTCGCCATTTTATTTTTTACACTTTTCCCCATATTTATTATCATGTCGGTTTCGGTTTGTGTTTCCGCTTCCGCTACCGTTTTGCCGCTCTAATGAAAACCTCCAACTGTCCCTTTTCTGGGCTGGCATGTTGGAAAATGTTTATTATGTGATTATGCTCGAGTTTAGCGCCCGTAGCGCCAAGGTCTATCCCAGGAATTCCTGTCCTGTCCCAGCCATTCGGAAGACTTCTCCCTGCTGACCTGCGGCAGGATTTGTCCTTTCCTTGAATTTGGTTTGTTGTTTTTGTTGCGGCTTCTCCTTTTTCTGTTTTTGTTGCGATTTTTCCTGTTTTTCCTTTTTTTTTTTTGCTTTTAAGCTTTGTGATCCCTTACGGCTGTCTTTTGAGTCGGGACTGTGCGTGGGAGTCTCGTTGTTGTCGTTTTAAATTACATTGTTACAAGTGTCCCGATGCCCTCTGTCATCTTTTTAAAGTACCCTTTAGAGTCTTCTTTCGACTGCAGCCATGGCATTGTTAAAGTTCAGGCCGTAGATCAGGTTTCGGCCATTTTAATTGTGCGGCCACTTTCCCACTTTCGGCCCCGAGGACAAGGGAGTGCCGTCTTTTCGAGACTCTCGAGTCATAAGCGCAAACAGTAATCGGTAGAATAAATAAGTCTGCCACTTTGCAAAGAGTGAAGTTCATCGCTGTTCAAGCATTCCATAAATATTTTCAGCCCACCGAAAGTGTGGGATTTAATTATACATTTCGAGGAGTAATAGCAGGGCAAATACATTCAACCGAAAATTGGCAAAAGCAAACACAACCAGGGTGGAATCATTCAAAAGCATTTCCAACTCAAGAACCCAGAAGGCGCTCCGGGAACAAGCAAATTTCTGGGAGAAAAGTTGGGAGGGCGGCGTGGAACACAGTTTTCGGGACTGCCTTCTGCTGTAATTAACTGGTCTGTCACATAAGTCGCATTAACACAATGTTATAAATGTTCCTGCAGCTGCTCTCCTGTCTGCCAGCTCCACCCGCTCCTCTTCCCATCCTGGTGGCAAACATTGCATGTCGACTACATTAAGTATACGCCACATGCGACGCATTTACATAGATTTGCAATGTTCGTGGCATACGAAATGGCAGTCAAGCTTATTAATTCCACTTCCACGTGACATGAACCCCTTTCCTTGCCTTTTCTTTCTTTGGCCAACTTGCGTGCGAAAAAGTTTTTGTCTTTAACTTGGCCCGAGATTATCTTCAGACTGTGCTCAAGCCCTAATTAATTTCGCCCCGAATCCGTTATAGGTGTTCCTGGTCAGTTAATTAAATCGACATGTGAGCGACCATGAATTAAGTTAATTTCCACAAATCCAATGCACAATCAAAGCCGCAAATTATCTTCAATATTTTCCAGCTGGCCGTGTGCATTTTCCATTTTTTTCCATGCAGCTCCTGCCGTTTGTCCTTGTTCGTTTGCACTGCAAATGGAGCAAGCGAGTTTTCAGCAACCAGGACTATAAAAAAATATGCATTACCCGATGCCTTTTGATTTAATTTTGCGGTTCGGAACGAAAAACCGGAACGAATCCAACGAATCAGAAAAACATTAATTTACATTTAATGATGGCCGTTTCAGATCGATATGCGGAAAAAAGGATGCTGACTATATGCCACAAGTGGCAGGGTATCCCACGTATGAGAGTATCTATTCTGAGATTACTTCTAATAGAGTAGTATGGCTGGAACACGCACACAATTATCGCCTTAAAATATTGATTATTAAGCGCATTTCGAATGCCATTTAAGTAACTGTGCCAACTGCCACAACACCCGGTCGACCTTCGTGTATTCCTGGTTTCCTCTTTGTTTGTGTGACCTCGGTTGCGTTTGTTGTTTTGGCAAATTTTTTTTTCGCCCTGCTGCTTTGCATAAAAAGCGACAATCCTGCGACAGTGTGCGGTTCACCCGCATCACCCTTGTCACCCCTTCGAATGCCACCACAATGGGCACACTTGTTTAGAATGCAGAGCGCTATTTGCGGCTGCTAATGAAGTAATTTCCAGGCATATCACGCATAATCCAGGGCACGTGAGCT